ATTGGGGCAGTTCCAGAGGGGGATTTGGGATGAGGGGATACCTTTAGCCATTGTTTTTCCGTGAGGGAATCGCTGTAATGGGGATCCCAGAGGGATTGGGGCAGTTCCAGAGGGGGATTTGGGATGAGGGGATACCTTGAGCCACTGTTTTTCCGTGAGGGAGTCGCTGTAATGGGGATCCCAGAGGGATTGGGGCAGTCCCAGAGGGACTGGGGGGATCCCAGAAGGATTTGGGATGAGGGGATACCTTTAGCCATTGTTTTTCCGTGAGGGAATCGCTGTAATGGGGATCCCAGAGGGATTGGGGCAGTCCCAGAGGGACTGGGGGGATCCCAGAAGGATTTGGGATGAGGGGATACCTTTAGCCACTGCTTTTCCGTGAGGGAATCGCTGTAATGGGGATCCCAGAGGGACTGGGGGGATCCCAGAGGGATTGGGGGGATCCCAGAGGGATTGGGGGGATCCCAGAGGGACTGGGGGGATCCCAGAGGGATTTGGGATGCAGAGGTACCTTTAGCCACTGTTTTTCCATGAGGGAATCGCTGTAATGGGGATCTCAGAGGGACTGGGGGGATCCCAGAAGGATTTGGGAGGCAGGGATACCTTTAGCCACTGTTTTTCCGTGAGGGAGTCACTGTAATGGGGATCCCAGAGGGACTGGGGGGATCCCAGAGGGACTGGGGCAGTTCCAGAGGGATTGGGGCAGTTCCAGAGGGGGATTTGGGATTCAGGGATACCTTTAGCCACTGTTTTTCCGTGAGGGAGTCGCTGTAATGGGGATCCCAGAGGGACTGGGGGGATCCCAGAGGGACTGGGGAGATCCCAGAGGGGGATTTGGGATTCAGGAATACCTTTAGCCACTGTTTTTCCGTGAGGGAGTCGCTGTAATGGGGATCCCAGAGGGACTGGGGGAATCCCAGAGGGACTGGGGGGATCCCAGAGGGACTGGGGGGATCCCAGAGGGATTGGGGCAGTTCCAGAGGGGGATTTGGGATTCAGGGATACCTTTAGCCACTGCTTTTCCGTGAGGGAGTCACTGTAATCCACCTCCTTGCGGTGCCGGGAGCCGCGGCCGAACATCTTCTCCTCCTCCTCCTCGCAGGTCAAACGTTCGACCTCGGCGTCGTCCTTGAGGATCCACGAGGGCAGCTCGTCCTCCTCCATCAGCCGCGGCTTCCGCTTGGGGTTCCGGGCCTCCTCCCGCCGCCGGTCCAGGTCCATCCGCTGGGAATGAGGGAAAGAGGGAACGGGATCAGCAATGGGATCCCAGAGATCCCAGGAATTGGGGTTCTGGGCCTCCTCCCGCCGCCGGTCCAGGTCCATGCGCTGGGAAAGAGGGAAAGAGGGAATGGGATCAGCAATGGGATCCCAGGGATCCCAGGAATTGGGGTTCCGGGCCTCCTCCCGCCGCCGGTCCAGGTCCATGCGCTGGGAAAGAGGGAATGGGATTGGGATGGGATCCCAGGGATCCCAGGGAACTGGGGTTCCGGGCCTCCTCCCGCCGCCGGTCCAGGTCCATCCGCTGGGAAAGAGGGAAAGGGATCAGGAATGGGATCCCAGGGATCCCAGGAATCCCAGGAATTGGGGTTCCGGGCCTCCTCCCACCGCCGGTCCAGGTCCATCCGCTGGGAAAGAGGGAATGGGGTCAGGAAGGGGTTGGGAATGGGATGGGATCCCAGGGAATTGGGATGGGATCCCAGGAATTGGGGTTCCGGGCCTCCTCCCGCCGCCGGTCCAGGTCCATGCGCTGGGAATGAGGGAATGGGGGAATGGGGTCAGGAAGGGGTTGGGAATGGGATGGGATCCCAGGGAATTGGGATTCTGGGATCCCAGGAATTGGGATTCCAGGCCTCTTCCCACCGCCACTCCAGGTCCATGCGCTGGGAATGAGGGAATGGGGGAATGGGGTCAGGAAGGGGTTGGGAATGGGATGGGATCCCAGGGAATTGGGATTCTGGGATCCCAGGAATTGGGATTCCGGGCCTCTTCCCGCCGCCGCTCCAGGTCCATGCGCTGGGAATGAGGGAATGGGGGAATGGGGTCAGGAAGGGGTTGGGAATGGGATGGGATCCCAGGGAATTGGGATTCTGGGATCCCAGGAATTGGGATTCCGGGCCTCTTCCCGCCGCCGCTCCAGGTCCATGCGCTGGGAATGAGG